CAGACCTATGGTTCTGAAAGCAGAGGCATTCTTTCATGATGAGCATCTTCTCTGATGTGCAGCTCCTCTTTTTAGTACTATCATAGAGAAACATTGACCTAGTAGGAGTAATCAACTGCATTTTGAAGAAATGGTCAGTTTTTGTACATGGAGGATTTAATGTGTAACTTGTTTGACGCTCACTTAAACATTTTTAAGATTTCTGTAACACGCAGACCCTCAGACCCTACAAAAACCTAACTGCTGTGATGCAGTACCTTCCTGCGCTCTTCACATACACTAACTCCTGGCATTCACAAAAACTGCTCATGCAGATTTTCATCACAGTTTAGCTTAGGGTACTTACTTGACACATGAAGTATGACTCATAGCGCATGAAAGGCTCGAAGGGATCTGTCTATCTTTTCAAGATACTGGTGCATCAGGGCTGTGCTGCTCTCCTCAGTAAGGAAGAAGAAGCCTAGGTGATGTGTCCACTGTTGAACAGAATACTTGCGATGTGCCAGGATTTTGCATTCAGGTCTCTTAAGCGAGTAGTCTGGGAGCTTCACACAACAAGGTCTGGTAGCAAAAATCCTGCAGACTTAATGAAGTACTTATTGCTCTTTGTGAAAATGAAATATAGCCCTGACCTGCTGTAATGGCTTCAGTTTTTCTATGAAACAGTGATTTGGTTGAAATCCATTTTTTTTTAAATCTGGACTTCGAGAGAGGTGTGGGGGGAATGTTCATTTAAAACTCAATTATATTACTCTCATTTTTATTTATTTTTTTGCAAGCTTTGTACAGACTAAACCTGAAAAAAGAATAGTTAAAATTGCACTGTGTCTTCAAGATTTGTATTTAAAATAGCCCGTATCTTATTTGTAAATCTAACTGTAGTGCAATTTCTGCCTATTTCGGTTAGGTAATTGTCCCAATGTATATAGGCTGTAATTGCGTTTTGTTTCCTAGGGAACACTCTTGAGCTTCGTCATGGGAGCTGTAGTAGCTGATGATGGTCCATCTGGTGTGAAGGCCCCTGATGGAGGCTGGGGCTGGGCTGTCCTTTTTGGCTGTTTTATCATCACAGGATTCTCCTATGCCTTTCCTAAGGCAGTCAGTGTCTTCTTTAAAGAACTTATCCGGGAATTTGGCATTGGATACAGTGACACTGCATGGATTTCTTCCATTCTGTTGGCCATGCTTTATGGAACAGGTAGGCAATGCTCTTGTTTTTGAAACAGTATTGTGTCATGCAGTGATTTTTGTAAAGTGTTTAGCCATTTACAGCATGAATCATGATTGTGTATCATTACTGGTGTGCAGGTAAGACATTCCACAGAATTACTATTGATCACATAAATCCAAACTTTATAAGCACATCCAGCTTGCATATAAGAATTAAAACTCCGCAACTCAGTAGCTGCTAAAGATGATGAAAAATCGCACAGCACTCAGAAGACAAACACTCTTCTGGATTGGCCTGACAGAACAGACAGAGTCATCGAATCGTTTAGGTTGGAAAAGACCCTTCAAGATCATTGACTCCAACTGTAAACCTGGCACTGCCAAGTCTGCCAAAGAAGAAATGCAAACTAACATAAAATCAATTGCAAAAATGGGTTTCTCTTAGCAACTGTAATTTGTTCTTCTTGTCTAGGTCCACTATGTAGTGTATGTGTCAATCGCTTTGGCTGTCGCCCTGTCATGCTGGTGGGTGGCCTCTTTGCCTCAATGGGGATGGTCATAGCCTCCTTCTGCACAAGCATCGTTCAGGTCTATCTAACTGCAGGTGTGATTACTGGTAAGTAGTGTGCATGGTTGAAAATGAGTTAGCTAATGTCTGAGCTTCAGGCTTAAGTTTTGTGTAAGTGACAAATATCTCAATCACTGGGATCATCCGAATGGGCTTTTATAAAGATGGCAGAGAAATCTGGAATTAAACTGCCATTTATTTGGTTTTATGAATGTTAATTTTTCTCCTATGTTTAACAGCCACTGCTGTAGTGACTGTAGTGTACCCATAGAGTACGCGAATGTTATGGAGGAAGAAGAATTTTAAGAGAACATTTTTTAGAAATGTTCTCTTAAAATTCTTTTGTCCACTTGAAATAAAACTCTCATAAGTCATGGATCAGAAAAATTGTAATTAGAATTTTTAAAATAGGGATAATGTAGGCCAGTATTCATTTGTGTGGGCCCTCTGTTACAGGTTTGGGTCTGGCACTGAACTTTCAGCCTTCACTCATCATGTTAAACCGTTACTTTGACAAACGCCGGCCCTTGGCCAATGGACTGTCTGCTGCTGGGAGCCCAGTGTTCCTCTGTGCTCTCTCACCCCTGGGGCAGATACTGCAACACGAGTATGGCTGGAGAGGAGGATTCCTTATACTGGGTGGGATGCTGCTCAACTGCTGTGTATGTGGGGCATTAATGAGACCTTTGGAGCCACCCAAAAAGTCTGAAGCTACCAAAGAACCAGCTGAGAAGAAAGCAAAGAAAAAACTTCTGGACTTCAGTGTGTTTAAAGACGGTGGTTTTGTAATCTACACGCTAGCAGCATCTATCATGGTGCTTGGCCTCTTTGTTCCCCCAGTTTTTGTCGTGAGTTATGCCAAGGATTTAGGGTATCAAGATACCAAAGCAGCTTTCCTTCTGACTATTCTGGGATTCATTGATATCTTTGCTCGGCCTATTTGTGGAATGGTAGCTGGTCTTAAGTGGGTTAGACCACGCTGTGTCTACCTCTTCAGTTTTGCTATGATTTTCAACGGCTTTACAGATCTCATGGGTTCTATGTCTGTTGATTACGGTGGCCTGGTGGTCTTTTGCATTTTCTTTGGCATTTCTTACGGAATGGTAGGTGCTCTTCAGTTTGAAGTTCTCATGGCTATTGTTGGTACTCAGAAGTTTTCCAGTGCTATTGGTTTAGTGCTCCTGGCAGAAGCTATGGCTGTTCTAATTGGTCCACCATCAGCAGGTAGGTATTCCATTTACTTCAGTATTCAAAATCACATGCATTGCATCCATTTACACACATGGTACGATAAGGGAGCAGAGAAAAAGACATGGTAACATGAATCACTTTAGAAGTGCATGTTCTGCTAATGTTGCACATGCTTCAATGACTTTCTGCAGTTACAATCTGAAATAGTCCAAGACAGGGTGGGATGAATCTTTTCCTTCTTGGATCTGTTTCAAGATTGGTTGCCATCTGGAGATGCTGCTCTTTCTCCACTGAAAGCCTACAACGGACCTGTTATTAGCTGACGGCTAATATTGTACGAAATGAGTTTTACATACACATTGAATAACTTTTGTGAAGTTCAGACCTTTCTGGAGGTGGGACTCAGAATACGAAACTCGTTACTCTTCTTTGGGAAGTACTGGGATAGATTCTATGTAGGAAGGAGGAGGAAAACAGTATCTTACAAGTACTATAAAACTGGACTGCTGAAAGGAAGGTAGACTGCTTCTATTGCACGTCTCAGAACCCCAAAATAAGGGGACATTACAAAATAGCCAAATTCATTAATTTGAATTCTAAATTGAAAATTAATTACTAATCAAAGAAGAAAAGTTTTGCAGAACCTGAACTTAAAATATCCTCGCAACCCAAACCCTACCAGTTTACTGTCATAAAATGTTTACTATTTATATCAGACACTAAGGAGCATCCAAGTATCTTGACTGTGACAGAACTCCTCATAGAAAAAAACAGTTCCCTGCACTAATCATCAGCTTTGGAGAGGTACTTTGTTCATGTCCCAGTCCCGTTCTTTCACCTCCACCAAATCCTGTGAAAATTTAACTTGCCTATAGCATCAGAATTGGTTGGTTACTCCAGACCGACTATTAAATAAGATTTGCCTTTTAAGCAGACAGGGCACTGCCCATATAGGCAAGAAAATGAGATTGTGAGCAAGAAGCGGGCGGTGAGGCCGGTCCCGGCCCCGGGCGGGCAGACGTGGCAGCTGGCTCGGCTCCTGCCGGG